AGTCATTGTGTGTGTGAGGGAAAAGAAAGCCTGGTCTTTGGTTTGTGAAGTCAATGTATGTGTGTGAAAGTGGAAAAAAAGAGTCTGAGGGGCGACTGCGCACACCGCCACCACTGGGAAAATTGAAGGCAGATTTTCCATGGCAGGCGTAGGCTCCAAATTGTTCGTTTTGGATGGAGAATTTGCTCTGGCATGAGATGTGACAATGATATTCATTTTGGAGCTCACTTCCATTTATATAGTGCTGATTGCACTTACACACCTACATACACACACAGGCTCCAGCTGAGCCAAACTGTTACAGAAAACTAAACCTGCCTTCAAATGAGAAAAAGAAACCTTGCCTAAAGTTCAGGCACAGATCTAAAGACTTGTGCTTAAATTGCAGCTCTCTTTATACTTTGATTTGCACACACACGCGCACACATACACGCACACCTACATACACAAACACTCTCCAAAAACAGACATTTCTCTATCGCTTACTCCTACATCCTCATGCGTGCCCAGACCCATATGATGTGCCAACATTTAGTTGATGTGATCCAGCTCCAGGATCATGTTTCTTCAAATCATCTCTAACTGGCCACCACGAGGCCCATTAAAGAAAACTGCTACAGATAGCTGAGGAGGTTTACTGTTCTCTATTTCAGTCAGGAGCACAGAGGAACATGGATTGGGTGTGATGGGAAGAATCACAGAACGGGGTGCACGTCTCCTCACAGCTTTCTTAGTTTTAGCCCAGCTAAATCAGCCCAAAAGACAAAAAGTGTATTGATTGCACTATACTGGAATGCTTCCAAATTTGTGCTCATTTTTCATGTTTTTTAGTTTTAGTTTTTTCACTTGAATTTTCTGATTTCTTGTGGAGATCTATGTCTGATTCAAGCTAGATTTGAATTTCTGAAGACCATTAAGAAAAATTAAATTAGCTTTACTTTAAATCAGTTTCTGCGATTAAATTTGATGGTTGAACAACTGTACAAACATTTAAAATGTTCTAGTTTCATTATCCTTGATTTTGCGTTGCATTTTTTAAAAAACCTTGTTGAGAATACACAAAATGCACCATATTTATTTTAAGAAATTAACCTATTTTTTATTTTGAGTTATAGGTGGTTCGGATTTTAGATTTCATTTAATGTTTTGATTTATGTGTTTATATCAGCACGAACACTTATTACTTATGGAGCAGCTGAGATTACTGTTTTTCCTGGCTGTGTCGCAGCTGTGCATTCTCTCAGTGTCCAGCAGAGGGAGTGAGACATTTAATAATCTGAGTTCCTGTTTAGGTGCAACTATGGCAGCTTTACTTTTAAGTAAAAGTACTAAAACAAATCCAATCGTGAAATTTTTATATATTAGAATTTCAAGGGTTTTTTTTTTTTGCATTGAACCACAACTTTTTTATGCCGTCATGCAAAGTGATCTGAAAATGCAATCATACTGGTGCATTTACACATATGGATACACATATACACACACGCGCAGACATGCACATGAGATACACAGCCCACTCCCTCTTTCTGCTTGTAATCTTACAATCTGATATAATCTGATAACGTCGTCTTTTAAAGTGCTTAGCTGCTTTACTTCTATCGTGAAAGACGGTTTTAAAGGCAGCGAGAAGTAAAAACACAAATGTGTTACGAGGCCTGTTCGATGAATAATGTAATATTCCCTGTGCTCAGTAAATGTTTGTGCTCTTGAGACTTCTGTCATATTTCCCAGGTCATACATTTGTTCAGCTGCGAGAGGCTGAACTTCCTGTAAGTAATTGACAAACTCCTTTAAATAGTTCATGTGCCATAAGGGAATATGAGCTCTGCCGATGATTATACAACGATGGCGTCTCAGAGCTCACGTCACGTCACTCACCATAATTGTTGTTTTGGTTGTTTCCCTGCTGGACCTCAGAAGGGCTTAGAGAATTAAAATGCTAATTCATCCAGGACCAAAATAGTCCAAACAGCTATTTAAGTTGAGCCAGAAGCATTTATCACACCATAATTAAGTTAGATCCAGGAGGAGACAAAAACTATCTTTGTTACTATGTTAACTGCAGCATGGGAAAACCCAGGATCTGTGCAGAAAGCCTTTCATTTGGAGTTTTGGATTTAAAGGTTAACTCTTATTTTTGGAGCATTGACCATCACCCCTGTATGTAACAATAACACTGCAATCCCCAAGTTCAAATCTGTGATCACTACAAGGAAATAAGACAGTGCAAGATGCCTGAGCAAATGATTAGATGTGCCAGATACCAGAAGATAAGGACAACAATCTTAACTAAAACAAAGTAACATCCACCACCCTTTGTATCGGCTATGACTTATGCTCCTGTGTGTGCACAGTTTTCATGAGCAAACAGGAATTATTGGAAATGTTTCAGGCATGCTGACTCAGTTTGCCCTCCAGACATAAAAAGGTTTAGATGAGCTACAAAAACCTTTGACTTGTTTACTCGTCGTCAGATCAAACAAGCCAAAGGTTTTACTCATGTTCTCTTTTTCTCCACCTAGAGAGAAAGATTGAGAACTACCATTAGTCCAGACAGTTTCACTCGGCTGAAATTCTTCTTGAATGTAAAAAAACCCCACCCCAAACAAAACAGCATCGCGTATTATGCTCGGTGACTGCACTCGCATGAAAACTCTGAGATGGATAAGACTACAGAGAGATGCAGAAACCTATACTGAAAACTCAAAGCTCTGTTGTGTTTAAGAGAGAGCTGAGCATAAAAGCAAAGCTGTCAATTTTCCGGCATGTAGTAACAGAAAGTACAATTTGAATAAGGTACTTGAGTAAAATTTTGAAGAACATTCCATCAACTCCATCCTGAAGTTATTGCACATAATACAAATGATGGTCAAATGTGCAAAAGTGAGGGCTACCTCTTCAGGTTAAATGCCTTCTGGTGGAAGCACAGGCTTCACAAATAACACGTGTTAATCAGTAAAAGCAAGCATCGTTTTTATGGGGGAAAAGCAGACAGATTGTAAAGAAAAGGAAAACAACCACTCGTTGGCAATGCAAGAACAGTTCATATGCTCACCAATGTTAGCCTTGGGATGGCAGCTTGAAGTTAATTATGTTTCCTTTCCAATCCAACAGAGGGTGTAGTCGAGCTTGCATCTGTGTTTATGAAAAGTGTGTAATAATAGTGACTTAATCACACAAATAGTGCAACCTCTCAGTCAACTTGACTTGCGTGGAAACTCCACATCTCAGGACATTCTTTTGGTTGTTCACCCAAACCACACACTGTTAACAGCTGTGCAGTATTTCACTCAGACTGCTTGGAGATTTTCTATTTTTTGTGTTGAGCTCTTTTCCAAAACCACTCATTAATAAAGTATTTGTGATCATGTGGCACTGATGGCAGAACAAAGCTTACTCCAGGCAGAGAGTGAGGGGCAGGAAGCAAAGAAAAGAAGGTGAAATGCAAAAGTCAAGGAGAAAAAAGCAAAAGGAGAAAGGAACAAAGGAAGAAAAAAGATGGATGTTTCAAAGGAGCCGAGTTAAGTAACGCTCTCTTTCCCGCTCTCTTGCACATACACACTCTGCATGCAGACTCCTCACCCCTCCCTCGCTCTTACTGTCTCCTCTGTAATGAGCTCCAGATGTGCTGCTAAGATGGGGGGGGGTGGGTGAGGGTGACGGGTGGAGGAGGAGCGGTGGTAATGGGGGAGCTGCCTTGTATGTCATGTGCTCATTCAAGTAGAGACGATGTCTGAGGGGACGCTGTCAGCCCTGATGGAGTTGCAGTCCAGGGCCTGGAGGCGAAACTGGGGGAGGAGGATGAAGAAGGGAAGCTGAGGTGGGGGTGGGTTGGGAGGTCAAAAAGATCTCCACATCTGGAATTACTTCGGGGCAGCCAGGCCCTGGCTGTGAAAGGTGAGCCTGGGCGCCTGGCAGGGGAGAGGGTGACAGGGGTCTGACACTGGACATCCCAAAGTCAGGGATCAGTGATCAGGAAAACAACCCAGAGCAAGAAATGAAATGGGTGAAAAGGAAAAAGAAAAACCCCTCGTTAAAAGTGACATACAAGTCAGGAAAAACCCTAAAATCTCATCAGTGAACCGTTTCTCTCCTTATGACTAACATTTGCTCTGCTCTGTAACTGTTTGACAGTGCCGGCTTGCATTGAAGATACTTGAATTATGAAAAACTACCCAAATTACTGTGTGTAAATGAAGATTTTCATTCTTATAAACAGTTTAAGGCCTGCATCCCACTGAGTTTTCTACAGATTCGTGCATAACAATAAGAATGAAGGAGATGTTGCAAACACCGTTCAACACATATGTAATGTTGCTGACACCACTAACGTAAAGGTTTAGGCAAAGTGTAAACTTATGCAAATGACAATTCGTTCGTTCGTTTCATACGATGGCACGCATGCCAATTTTTTTTAAGTCCACCAAATTAAAACACTTCCTCATCAGCTACGGTTTCATTCAACCTGGCTTTTACAGTCTGGGAACACCATTCAAAGACCAGTATCAACTTATGTTTGTTGACAGTGAAGGTTATGAGGGGCAGGGAGAAGAAACACCTTGTTTAAGAGTCATACAGTTAAACAAGACCCGAGGGCCTCCATAGCAAGGACAAGATTTCGCCGCTCATAAATATCCTATTTTTAAGATGGAAATTTCAGGTTGTGGTAATCAGGAAAACACCCCTCCCCCAAGCCTATCCCCCACACAAAGCAGGAGGACCTTGGGGTTTCTCTGAAGGAGCATCTGTTCTCTGGTTGTAAATCTCTCTTTTTATGGGGTTTGCATGAGGTTCGTGATCAGTTTGCTTTCCAAATGGTCTCATCTATAAACACACTTATTCCTTATAATTCTTGAAGCATAATTCAAGGCTGACTGATCGTAGGCAGTATATTTTTGTTATAATAATCTGCAAGCGTAAAGACTCAGTCAGGAACTGTTTAAAGAAAGTGTTGGAAACCTGGAAAATATTGGAAAACAACTGTTTTCTCCCTTCTGATATGTGTTGAAACTGCAATTTTATTGCTTGAAACGCATGTTTATTCATATACAAGTTTTTATTCTGTTACAAATAAAGGATATCATATGAAATTATCTACTGATTTTGGATTCAGAAATACATTAGCCTCTCCTTTATATTGGACTATTACATGAAATTCAAAATGTGTTGAAAATGTTTGTTTGTCAGTGGTATAAAATGGAAAGAAATGTGAAAAAAAATTTAAATTGTATAAATGTCAGAGGAAGTCATTGTCATTTTGTTGAAGACATAAAAAGAAAGAAAGTAGATGATCCCAATTATGGTGTGTAATTTTATCCAACACCATAGAAAAAGTGGGATTCCATGTAGTCCATATGAGTCTCCATTTAAGCAAGTTCTCTGACTGGAACTAACCCTCCATTTAAGTCACAATCACAAATGCAAAACTGTGCAGATATTTGGCTACAGCATCCAGTCTAGATGTCTTTTTGTGTGAACAAGAATTCAGTGATGCTGAGGAGAAAAAGAAAACTTGGCTTGGGGAAAATCCTGCCATCACACGCTTTTGCACTTTTGCACATTGGTACATTGATAGTAGTATACCATCATGGCTGCTCCAGAAAGAAAAGAATACTTCTTGATCCAGAGTATGTGGAATAATGTTCATCCCAGAGACAATGTCCTTCTCTGGGTCTGGGGGGTCTTGTAGTAGAGAGGGCTCCTTCCCTTCCCCTGGGATCCCCTAGCCTCTCAGTGTTTCAGTTGACTGTGGGCACCTGGTTCAAGCTGTACTCCTTGGCTTTGAGTCGCAGATTGGCAATGCTGTTGGCCATGTTCATTCCCTGGGATGTATTGGTGTTGGAGCAGGTGGGTGGGTAGGTAGCCATGGCACTGAGAGAGGAAGGAGGAAGAATAGGTGAAAAGTTACATCATCTGTGGATTACAGTATCACCTGCAGCTATGTAAATATGTAAAGAAACAAAAAAACCTTTGAAACTAAATGTGACATCAACTACTCTGAAAGCTAAAATCCCTACAGGAACATGACCGGTGTTTTTGCATGTTTGTTGTCTAGGCACCAAGCTGGTGGTTATATTGTCTGTTAATAGCAGTATGTGAAACCTAATCAGCAGAAATCAGAAAGATAAGCAGAAAGATAATGACCCATATATATATATATATATATATATATATATATATATATATATATATATATATGAGAAAGAGAAAGAGACTCTCTGTGGGCAATATTTTCTGCGGCACTCACGCTGCCACCATTGGATACCAGCTTAGGGATAATGCACAGTGAACTCTTGGCACTACAAAGCATTATTGCTACAAAGATTTCCCTGGCTGCAGCTGTAGGGTTTGACATTTTATACTCAGTTTCAGAACTGAGAATTACTGTAAATCATGACCAGTGTAACCAGAGTCACAAAAATGTTGCCCAGGAGAGCGCTGTCATTCTGTGCGATGTTCATTATCTCGTGTAGTGTAGCACAGAGGGGTCATGGGGGTCAGTAGTGGATTTAATATGGTTTGTTTTCACATTATCACCTCTTCAGGAGGGTCACAGGATCTATCCCCAGCCCTCAAGTGCTGACAGAGGGGTTAGATGAGGGACAGGGAGAGGAAAATGGTGTTTTGATTCACCACAATTAGCTTAAAGTTAGATGTGTGCAACAGATTAAAGTTGCATATGAAGGGTAGAAGGCAAAGATGTAGAGAGTTTAAAAGGCAGAATGAAAATGTAGGAACAGAGGTCGATCTTTAACTCAGTATTACAGCATTTAAAGGTCACATTCACTCAACTTTCACTACAGTTATTAAAATGGAAAGACTACATGTACCTATTTTAGGCATACATGCTTGCCAGTCGTTTCTCCTGAAAACAAATAGATCAAGTTGTCATTGTGAATAACATTTTTTTTCATCATTTAAATATTTTCATTACATGCAAGATGTAGTACTTGGCTACTTAAGTATTTTTAAGTATATATATAACTCCAATATTTTCACTTGAGATTTCTTTATTGTCATAGTCTCTGGTTTAAGGTTTTCTTCTCTACAAAAGCAGAGTCCTTTACTTTAGTCAGGAACATCTAGTTTTAAACCAGTTTATACCATCACAAATTAAACGCTGCAGTCGAGACATTTACATTCACTACATTCATTTCTTGCAAGATTTTCCACTTTTGAGAGGTGCCAGTAAGACACTTACAAAACATTAGTCTACACATACCTAGAACAATATATAAAATGTTTGAGTATAATATTTTTTGAATATACAATTTGTTATTTCAAAAAACGGTTTTTTTTTTGTTTGTTTTTAAAGAAGGTTTACACGAATGAATTTGAACATTTGGGTTTACAGTGTAATCGTTCAGAGACAGTCAGGACGGCACTGTCAACACAATCTGGCTTTAGATTATTGTGCGATATTATTTCATATTCAGTGCTATAGAAATGAAGTGGAAATTTTTTCCGCCTGATTGTTCATCAACGAGAAATAAATGGACAGGCCAGACATTTAGGGATGTATAGACTTCTAATAGTTTAAGCTGAAGAGACTTTTTTTTATAAAAAGGAAATGACTTTCAAGAAGTAAATTTGGAAGTAAAATGCAGGTAAATATTTATGTGTTTATGAAGATTAAATTTGGGTTAATGGTGATTTTTTTTAATACTTGTATATATTTTTAATCTGCCATTACTTTATTTTTATTTTTTAACAAATCCTTTAAAAAGAAGATTAAACTCATCAGTAGTTTAGTCTGCTTTTATTATTAAAGACTAAACTTTTCCTTTATCTCTAGATTGTTCCACGTTGGTTCACATTTGCTAAGGATTTGTAATAACCTAAAGCTCAGTTTCAAACAAATGCACTGGGTGATTCAGTCCTTTTAATTAGAAATTAATTTTAGTGATTAATCAGCTTCTGAGACCTCGTGTATGTGTGATTTGGTCATATTAAAGTGTGCATGTTCATTGTAATAGATGAGCATGTCACATTTGAAAAGCAGAGAGTTGTTTTATTTGCTGTTTATTTATCTGTCTGTTTGTTGTTCTGTCTGTCAGCAAGCTTACCCAAAAGCAATCAGACTGAATTAATTGAAACTTGGTGCAGATGTTCATCATTTTGTTTAAGGCTGCACAAGAGGACATGGGACGTTTAACTGTTTTCTATTAAAGCTCTGCGGCATGGAGGCATTAGATGCATGCGGCTTTGGATACACAGAATATGCTGCAGCAGTGAGCCTTGGTTTGTCTGCATGGACAATTAGACAAAAAGAAAAATAACATTGTTTTACTATTCGAAATGCACAAGGCATCGCTGTTGGTGTAGAAATATAGTTTGAATGGACAGTGTGTGTGTGAGTGTGTGTGTGTGTGTGTGTGTGTGTGTGTGTGTGTGTGTGTGTGAACTGTCTGAGGTATAAGTCTGCTTGAGTTCAGGATCACAGGAGATGAAAACTTTTAGCGGAACAATGAAAAGTATGTGCAGGTAGGAGAGGAGGAAATTAAACAATAACAGAACGCAGCATCTGTGTGTGTGTGTGTGTGTGTGACAGAGAGAGAGAGAGAGAGAGAGAGAGAACTGTTACGGTGATGTTACTGCTCGTGTTAGTGGTTATTTCTTCTGGCTATTTATACTTTCCCCACCTTCCTTTCTTTCTTCCCTTTTTCTGGGAAAAAGGAAAGATTTCTTGGGAAATTGCTAATAAATGGAAGTCCTTCTCTAAACTGAGAAAATGAATTCCATTTGTATTCAAAGTAGGCTTTGTGCACAGAATGTGGCTGCAAGATTATTAAGTGATGTTCGAGGGGACTATACCTGTAGGGCGCAGCACTCCCCCAAGATAGGTAGTCGTTGGGGCGAGGTGCAGGGCGAGGCACAATTGGCTGCTCCACTGCCGTCACATCTCCTGAGTAAGATTTGAGGAGCGAGGCATTTTTGCTGGCCAGCATAGCTCTCTCATTCCTGCGGAACTTAGCTCTCCTGTTCTGAAACCACACCTGCAAAGTCAAAGGACAGAGCACATTGTTTGTCTTTTAGTCATCGCTTTTTAATCTTCATGACTATGAAAGCACTGCTCCTTTAATCCAAACATAACATACATATATGTATATCAAAAATAAGATGTAGCCACTAGATATGAAGCCATTGCTGAAGAGTCATACTGCAGTCTCTTCCTGTTAAAGAACCAATGAGAAGAGAATTCTTCCTTTGCATTGGTTTTGAGATTTGGTGTTATATAAATAAAGCTAAACTCAATTGAATACAGCTGAAAGAGTTGTATTCAAGCTTTTTTCTCATTGAAAAAGCTTCAACTTCTCACAGCAAAATTTCAACCATAGTTAATAGATTTATTCAACGGGTTATTATGATTTCATTAGCTAAATACACACATACCAACCAGTATGCCAGTGGTCCTGCTTAAATATTTCTGACACTGATTAGATATCAGGCTTTAAAGAAAGCCTTCCCTAATATACTTTTAGCTCCACTTTCTCGTCCACATATAAAGTAAACTCTGACTACAATAAAACAACATGGTGATGCCCAAAATGCCAAAATTTCAGTTTTTTCCAGACTATTAATATTTATAGCTCGGGCACAGCACTGTGAAGTATGAGGAACTATGGTGAGTCTTTCCAGACTCATTGGTCTTTTTTTTTTTTTTGTATTGACCAAAATGTTGGTCAATTAAGCAAGAAGTTTTTTTTTAATATACTTTAAGTTTTGACCTTGAAAGCTGGTAATGTGTCGGAAACCTCTATCTTTATAGTCTGGGCACATTCATAGAATTTCATAATTCTCCATGTAATCGCCAACTTTGTGGCCTACTCAACAAACCGCATTTTATCTCTAACCATGCAGTGAAATAGAAGCTCTAAATGTTTCTCGTGCTCACTGTGTCCGAAGTAAGATGGGGTGTTTTTTGTGGTATCCTACAACAGTTTGCAGTCAAATACGCTAAAATTTCTCAGTCAGCACTGAATTAAGTCGTATGACATCAGTAAGAAAAAGAGGTTTTATATGGTGTCTCACACTCACAGTTTCACTTGTGAGAGAAAATTCTGAGCTGTTGGTAAAAGCTCTAAAATAAAGAAAGTCATCCTCAGACATGTGTTCTCATACCCAGATCAGGATATAATGGCAAATCAGTAACTTTGCTTTTTGAATGGCCTAACAAGTGCTTCATACATGCACTCCATGGACCATATTACACTCCACTATTATTTACAGGGATAATCAACGTTTTGATTTTGTGTGAAGATCTATAGAAATCCCTTGAAGCTACGATTGGTCAGTGTAACAGATATTTTCAGATATTTTTAAATATCGATCTATCATTATGGATTTTTTTTAAATAGTTGTGTCTCACTCTTCAACACATTTTAAACACAAGAAAGCTCATTTTCTGCATTCTGTACACAAACAGCAATTAATGTCAATTAAAAGACAAACACAGTATAAAAGAAATGCTTCATGTCTATTAAATTGTAGTAAAATCTTTACCCATAAAGGAGCAGATCCATAAAGACAACCTAAACTCTTGTCTCCAATCCAAATATCTAGTCTAATGTCTAAAATGACCATGCGTCCACACGCTCTCGCTCGTGTGTCCATGCTTCATCTGTAGTTCACCTCTTTCCGTCCTTATCACCCCCCACCAGCAGAACCATCTCATTAAGTAGACGATGACTGAGGTGGAGGATGCTGATGTTTTTCCTTACTCTGAAACTGAGTTGATTATTATAAGTTGTATGCACTCAGAGGGGCTTGCTGACGCACTGCCTCAGGAATTACCCAAAGTCTTTTATCAAAGCATTTCTGCATTGCTCTCTGCTACACATTAATCACAGATGTGCTGCTTGTCTCACTCCCAGATCACTATTTCCTCTTTCCCTCTCACTCTGGCCACAGAATAAATACTTTCATTGTTTTGTATAAAGATAGCACTGATTTGTTTATAGACACTGTATATATCAATACCTGCAAGAAATGCACGTGTTTAATTATTAGTCATAAGTCACGTGTTTCTAGGGCAAACCTAAGTGCATTTAAGAAAAAATGTTTTCTTGTTTATAAGTGAAGAGTGGCAGATTATCCAGTACAACAAAGAGAAAACCAACAAACACTGGTCATAAAGCTGTGAGGACAAAGAATGAGCTGAGTGTGACGTTTGCATTTACATAAATGTCATCTCAGAGTCTGCTGTCTGAACTGGGGCTGCTGAACGTACGGCTAATTACCTTAAAGTTGATCGCCTGTGTGACAGCTATAAACTCAATGACATTTACATGTTTTGTAATTAATAAAAACATTTATAATTATGTTTTTTTTAATCCATCCATTTTCTTTACTACTTTTCCACCTAAGGGACATAGAGGAAGGAGACATAATGTGAGCGATAGGATACGTCTTGCCCATCTCCAGTCCATCGTAGACAGTCAACCACCCGCTCTCACTTTCACACCTTTGCCCAAATGAGAACCATCTTATCATATTCAACATGCATGTTTAAGGTCTTTGGGAAGCAATCAATGAACACTCATAGTCTACACAGGAAGGCCCCAGCAGACCACAAAGTTCACACCAAAAACCTTCTTGCTTGTGAGGTTACCTGTTAACCACTACACCACAGTACCATTTTTTAAATATGCAAATCATAATATCAGTCAAGCTGCTGTAGGACAGAATCTATTACCAAAGGACTGATTGACAATAATTCAAATTGTAGTTGATCTTTGAACGCTTTTTCTCTTATTGCATTCATGCAAATTATTTTGTGGTGAAATATATAACGAAAAAATTATAACGCAACATAATAAAACACATCATTTCTAATTCAGTATGTTAGACTTATATGACACGCTGGAATACAACACATGCTTCATGAACAGAAATGCAGACTATCAGATGTTCGGTGCACGCAAGTGTGTGTCTGGATGAAAAATCCTTCATGAATTCAAAACTTTTACTAACAACTGGAAACATTCATTTTACGAGACCCATTTCAGAACACTATACATCCCAGTTTGTATCTGTTTTTGTGGCGTTCATATCAAAGTCAGTAGTTCATTCTCCCGCTGACAGCATCGTATTTAGCAGCCCTTTTGTTGCAGCACTTGTGTGTTTTACACATTTTGTAAACAACTGAGGAAATTAAACATCATTACATCCACTTTTCTAATCACGGTCGGTTCACTGGGGAGTTTTTGCAAACTGCTAACAGACTTTACAGTATCAGTAATTATCTAAAAGATCACTCTGGCATGATAAGAGATATTTGTCAGCTCTTATCAGTTTAGTTCAACACAAAATCTAAAGCTGTTAATGACTTTCGCCTATTAGGAAGGATTAATAACCAAATACACTAAGTTAAAAGCTAACAGATGATTTGACGCTGTGAGGAGTCGTGCTGTTTGTGTGACCGCGTGCACTGCAGTTTCCTATTAAAACTTTTCAGCTTAGTCAAATATTCATTTAATATGTTCTATTTTAAGATTTGTATCATATAAGTTCATATCTGTATATTAACAGAAAGTTATTTATTTTATATCTGACTTATTCTGGTACAACACTAATTTCAAATCTCATAAGTGCATTTGTTGTTTCTCTCTTTACCTAAGTTAGAATCTAGCCAACAGTTCAATCAAATGTTCAAATAACAGGAGAATCAAATGTCAAGGAATCAGTATTTGTCGAAATAAAAGTATCAGAATGTGGAATTATTACTGAAGGTTTATAATCTCAGGAAAACATCTTTTCTTCTTTTTTGCCACGTAGCATTGAAGCCACCTTCCTGTGGCAATACATTTTTCGTACCTGCACTCTAGCCTCGGTGAGGTTGACCCGGCGAGCCAGATCTTCTCTGACGAAAGCATCGGGGTAGTGTGTCCTCTCAAACACCCTCTCCAGAGCTTGGAGCTGGCTGCTGTTGAAGGTGGTCCTGTTCCTGCGCTGCTTCCTCTTCTTCTTCTCCTCTGTGTTCATCTGTTCATCTGCACAAAGAGGAAGAAGGAACTTTATGAATCAGAGGAACAGCTTCGTTCTGCTCAAGCATTACCCCAAAAAAATCAAACGACTATATAATTACAGTTATAATTGCAATTAACTATAAGTGTAATTGTAACTGTTATATTGTTATATAAATACAGCAGGAAGCATTGTCTGCATTGACACACAACCGCTACTGCAGACTGTAAGACAGTTTGAGTCACAAATTAAAATGAATAAAACTGATCGATCGATCGATAGATAGCCAGATAGATACACTACCACTTAAAGACTGATGATTGAGGTCAACAAGTTGAGGTTTGTTTCTGCCCAGTTAGAGCAGAAGGTCATTTAATAAGTTTAATACGCAAAGAACGACACAACGTATCATAGCTCTACATTTTACTAGAGGAAGACTTGACTTATTAACAGTACCTTTTGTGGTTTATCCTTATCATTATTTTCTTGTAAACAAACAATGTTTATATATAAAACTATATATTATGTATGAATATTTACCCTCATAGAAAGTACGATTTCTTTTAAAAAGCTGTGAAATAATTTCTGGATCTGCAGAAACACGTCACTTGGCTCTTCACCTAACTAACTAGCACACAAGCCAAAAACAAAAGTAACAGAATCACTTTGGCAAAGCTGAATGTGTAATTCATTATGGAAGAGCTCCATGTGCTCAGTCTGATAGTTCCCGCTGGGTGAAATCAGTGTTGGTGAATTGTGGCTGCACAACAGGACCACAAACTAACACTTTCACACAGAAAAATAAGGCTGTGATCTAAAGTGTTCCTAATTACATCCACACATACACACAGTCTGTAGTTATGTGCACACACATATGCAAAGGTAGGACGTTGCTCAATACACTCAAGTGTTTCATGCTACTTAGCAGTAATAACATTTTGAGAGATTTCAGTCAACTGAGACAAAAAGAATCATTTGGGTTTTTGCTGCTACAGATTTTGTGTCTCTGATTGGGATTTTGTATTCAGCACATTCGTTTTGTTGGGATAGTAGTTCTTTTTAAATGTGTTATTCTTTATTTTGGGGTTACACGAAATCCATAAACTTTATCTAATGAACCAGAATGGCAAATATTGGCCGTGTTTCTGGAAACATCTGTGTGTATTTTTTTAATGTAAAAATCATTAAGTAGAACTTTTATTGCAGCACTTTTTACAGACCAGTTTTTCTCTGGGCTTTCAGTGACATGCTCTGGAAATTTTGTGGAATACATTAAAAATTAAAAGTTATTCACAACATTCATCCATCGGGTAATGTGTTACCTGATGGAGCTGGCTGCTGTTGAAGAAAAAGTTTTACTTTTGAAAATTTCCACTTCTTGGAATCTTTATTTAAGTCTATAGAAACTACTTCAACTTTCATGCTCATTTACAGTTTTATGCACTTTTTAAAAAAAGATTTCTGGAGCATGTTTGTTAGTAGAAATATGAACTTTCAGCCAAACACGGGATATTGTTGTTGTATTGATTCATTTTTCGCACACACTCCTGGCAGTGTGTCAAACATTACTCGATCGTCAAGTAACCTGTTTGTTTAGCTGTCAACATTTCTTCTAAGAGTTGCTGTCAGTCGATTGGCAAAAAACCCCAAATGTAAACTTGTTCACCTGCTGGAATCGAAAATGGAGCCCTTAAAATAAAAAGTGATGTCTGTCTGTAACTCTTAATGAATTTATTTCAGTCAAGCTGACCACAAAGTGTTTTCTTCTGCTGCTCCATACAAAGGATTTTTACAGGCCTATACATTAAAAATAGCAAGAGGAAAAAAGCAAAGACAGAAAAATAATTTGTTGTAAATAAAAAAAAATGTATTCTTGTGTGAATTTATGATTTTTTTATGTCCATATTTTTCACTTTACTTGCTTCAGATTTTGATCGTGTGCTGCTGTTGACCCGATTATTTGTTTTACTGCTGCAACCAAATGTCTCATTTGTTTTGTTTGACTGAATCTTCACCTTTATTTCTGGATCGAGACTCAGAAGCTGACACCATGAACAGCTATAAGTACAAATAATTATGATTTTTATGGTTGCAGTACACAGCGTTTAAACACAATTGCTACTGCAGGCTGTAAGACAGTTTGAGTCACAAATAGATGTGTGTGTGTGTAGGTGGGGTGGGGTTGCTGAAGGGTTGGAGTGACAATGTTCATTTTGGTTTCTTTGAGCCCTTTAAATTGGTTCTACTTCACATTTGAGGCCAACCCATAAACTGAGGAGGAGAGTGCAAAGATGCTTCATTAACTAAAACAAATCCATGAAGTGATATTTTATTCCTTAAGTGCTTGAAACTAATAAAAAGCAGTAGCTATTGTATTCATATTTTTTGCCTTTATTTTATGCGCTAAATGCCTTAAAAATACCTTAAACCTAAAACTACAACTACCCCCATCCTTTGCTCTTCTTCTTCATAATCCAGTTAATCAGACTGGCCTTGTGACCTTTTGTGGGCATCCTGCCACCATGAGGTTTAAGCCAATAGATTTTACTAATGACATCTTCATTTCATTTCTATTGAAAATAAAACGTAAATCTTGGAAGGAAGGACTGAATCCACAACGAGAGTAGTTTATGCAAGTATAAGTAGTTTCATGACTTCTCCAGGCCTGTTTTTTGCTTTTTCACGTTTTAATCTCACAAAGAACAATGACCATGTTGCAGTACCACAGACAAAAACAAATAACCTCATTAATTTACATGAAAATGTGTGTGCCTATTTTCTTTCTTTCTTTTTTCAAAAATATTTAACATAGCTACAGCACCAAAGTTTCTTAGAAGTGATTACAGCAGCTCTGCAGACACCACGGTCCACAGTTTTGGGCTGAAACTCTGTTTATTAAATGGAAAAGAACAAATTGCAGTAAACTGGAGTTGTAAAGGCCACACATGGCAAACCAACGACCGCATACAGCTTTCTCACCAGAAACCAGCGTTTGCGCGTCTCCAGGCTGAGAGTTAAGGAGCAAATCGTGACGCCCTTCCCGCCGACTTTACAACCGGAGAAAAGTGGACAGCAAATAAGATCTGTCAGAACCTAAATGTGCGTCTAAACTTTCATTTAAACATATAGGAATTAAATGTTATTATATAACTTAAATTAAACATTTTGACTGCTAAATAACACTTTTAGGGCGATTCAGCAATTAAAAAAAAATAAAATCAAAAGGTTTGTAGGCCTGTATAAAAAAGGTATTTATTTACAGTATTCTATCGGACTTCATTTTTAGATTTTAAATAAAAAAAATATGACAGGACAGAGGACAGTCCACACAAAACGGAATCCACGCAGGTATTTTTAACAGTACTTGTATACAATTCTAAATTTTAAAGCGTATTTAAAAACTATCAATTCCACGCGAGTTTTCTTCGTGGAATAAAATATTTGGAAACCTTCATGGGTCCAAATGCCGTCACGTAGAGGTTTATTGAGAACGCAGGCACAAATAGCTTTTTAAAAAACTCAGCTTCCCGAAAAGACTCATTCATTTAATAGATCGTGCAGCGCCTGGGCAGCGGTTTGGTGTCGCACAGCTTTTAATTAACCCTCCAGGGTGATGTTTAAAACAGCAAATCAAAGCCATCGGCATCATCAGCGCCATCATCAGCACCATCATCATCCTTCTGGCAGCTTCAAGTGTGGTCAACACGTGGGACTATAGATTGATCTCATTAGCAGCGATCAGTGAAAGTCAATTAGTCCTGCTGCCAAGACAAATTCGTTAGAGGGGACCTGATTCCTAACTAAAAGTGTAGTTGGCAATTTTTTGTTATTTTATTTGGATTTTTATTAAATTTTGCGGACGCCCAAGCAAATAATGGACATCTGTGCAAAGTTTTTTTTAAACGTGGACTAAAAATGTTTCAAATGTTTGAATCAGTTGTTGCCTATAATAATAATAATAATAATAATAATAATAATAATAATAATAATAATAATAATAATAATAATAATGTACTTGCGTAATAATTCAGATCATAATGTTAAACTTGCTCAAGTCTGATTTCTTGTTTAATGCAATAAAAGCCGGAAAACTAGCACTACAGTTTTTACTCATCACTCTAAAACATTTGTTTTCTAAATCCGATCGATTCGTTCCTTCTGTGGTTTGTCAGAGTCACGTTTCCACAAATTAAGAGCTGATGAGATGCTGTTATTTGATTCTTTAATTGTCGGAACGAGGACACGCGCGGTAATTATGACAAATGACTAGGCTCCGATATTCTGAAAGTGTTTGACAGGCTGAAAATAACCGTAGATTAACGACGTGACCCCGCCACTTCCTCCTCCATATTTCTCACAGACGATTTTTTAGCCTTTAAAAATAACAATAACACTCATTAAAGGCTATAACGTTTGTGTCAACTTCTCCAAATGGCCCTCTGAGCAGAAAAAGAGGAGGGGGGAGAAGGGAGCGTTTATTTACTCTCTCAGCGGTGAGGTGGAGAGGACGTGCAGTGGCATTTTTTTTATTTATTTATCTATTTGTATTTGTTTGTTTGCGCTGAATTTATCCAGGTTCTTGTCGGCTTCGGCAGTGACGTATACCAAAAGAAAAGTTGGAAATGTTAACCTCGATTCTCACAGTGGAATTCCAACGGCAGCCCAGGGATTAGATCCCGCCTCTGTAGTGTCAAAGATATCGGCTTCATTTTTGCACACCCAGCGGGGATGAGGCCTTGTTTAAAATGTTTTCTAATAAAAATTGTGATAGGGCTATGCAAATATTCACAAAGCATAAGTCACACTTGCGCACGTCTACATGACTCAGTCTGTTTTCAAAATTCATTATTGGTGTTTTCTTCTTAAATGTAGGGCAAAACAAAGCGCCCTGCTGAGGTCAACAGTCGTGGAGAAAAGATTTATTACTCCGAAGTTAGACTTGTAAGGAGACTTCACTGACCATGTCCACCATCAGCATCATACTTCACTGACATCAGAGTGTTAATGGTAAATTAATGGTCATTTTGAGGGGGAGACCGTCAGGGATGATGCATTGCCAAAACTCACTAGAAGATTCCTTCCATGCGCGCGGCTTTTCGCAGAGCTCCGTTCGTGCGGTCTGCGCGCGGACGCTCGCCAGCAAGTCATGAAAAGAAACACGTTTCGTTTTCAGCCTGTCAAGAGAACTACTTTTGTCTGCGATTTGATTTGTTTCCAAGAAATGATGAATGATAACTTGGGATATCAACAGGGGCTAAAACAGTTCGCTGAGGATTATTTCAAATAATAAGAAAAAAAACGTGTTATTTTGAGCTTCGTCCCATCCTTTTAAAACATTTTTTCATCAGCATTTCACTTACTTTCCTGCTGGGTCGTGTCGCTCCCGCTAGTCAGCCCCGGAGATTCCAGCATATTTCTCCCCGTCTCCCCGACGCTCTCGTCTGCCTGGGTACCGACCATTTCCCCGGCCTCTTCCAGATCCAACAGATGGCTGACTGAGAAGTTCTTTTTGGCTTGCAAGTTGTCCAGGTTAGACGTGATTGGGCTCTCCAGGCGGTTTGGTATCGTAGCTTGCCTGTCCATTACATGTGCATAGCTAGAAGTCATGACGCAAGTGGGAACCAGCGGAAAAAAAGAGAGCGGTAATAAGAAAGAGAAGCGCAAGTGAGCCAAGTAGATCCGTGCATGCAGAAAGCACTAGCAGCGCCTCTAGAAAAACACAGCCAGATAAAAACTCGGGACTTCCGAGCAGAGGGTGGATCTGTTCACATCCAAATCAGCAACGGAGTTCTCAAACGAACTTGTTCCTGCTTTCCCCACTAAATCTTTTTACAGCCAATACATCCAGCAGTACGAGTCAGAGAAGAAAATGACCGACCCGTGTTCGTCCAGTCGCGTTTTTTTTTTTCAATTTCAAGAAATCATATAAGAAGAAGAAGAAGACGTTCTCTTCCTCCTCGGTTTGAGCCACATATGAGCAGGAAGAGTGGCCGCTGCTGCTGATGACGACCAGATGCGTAAAGTTCTGTGTGCGCACAAATCTGGCTCAGCTGCAGCTAGAGGCACGGAGGCAGGACGTTACCGCCTCACCTTCAGGCTAGCTTCTCTCTCTCTCTCTCTCTCTCTCTCTCACACACACACACACACACACACACACACACACACACACACACACACACACACACACACACACACACAGCTGGAAAGAGAGACTTGCTGCACTACGAAAGTGGGCCGATTTTCAACCGCACTCTTAATAAGAAGTCCGTAATTGCGTGCTAACGCTTTTGCTGTGTCTGACGTTTTTCATGACCCCACCACCCTCTTCCCCCTTCAGCTGAAAACATCACATCAGCAGCATCGACAGCCCGCCTGGTGTTGGCCGTTTTTCTCTGATAAACCTCAGCTTGAGAGTCCTTACGGGGGATGCAGGAGGCAGCAGAGTGTGAAGGGAGGCACGCTGTTATCTTTGTGTGCTGATAAACCCACTCTGAATGTCCTGCGGTGTGCCACCAGTTAAATCAACCATAACCAGTGCCAGTCAGTCTATCCACAGGATTGTCCGCATGAGTGCTGGCTGAGCTAGAGAAATGATAGAAGCAAATTACAGGGCGACTATGGCACCAACCATCCATTCTTTTACATTTAGATTTGAAACTGAAAACCGTTCCTTAAACTACAAACTAATTACCAAGGCCAGCGAGAGGTCCCACAAACATCACTCGAAAGTGTATTTTTTATAATAGTGATAGTTGTTTGTATTTTATCGTGATTTTTAACAATGTTTTATTCTTCATTTTTTAGATCGCGAAAAAGAAACGCACGAGTTTTACATTTCTTGACAGTGTATTTATTTGTATGTTACACGTGATGTTCCTGCCACTAAATACATTCTAAAAACAAAAGAAAAAACAAACAAATTTTTTTTAAAAAAATTTGGGTCAACCCACACTTTGTTAGTGCATCTACAAATGTGTTTAGTGGGCACCATGTCTAATCCTTGGTTATCTATATACAGGCACTTGAATAGGCACTGAACTGTCTGGCCTTTAAAGAAATTGAAAAAAAAGGAATTTTTTCACAATTTTTTTAAACTTTATAATTGCAAAATATGCAAAAATCTACATGAGCTGCACTTAAAAAATGCAGATCCCATTCAATACATTGATGAATTGTCTTACATGACATCCTGTTCACAAATATTGTCCAGGATCTAATATATTAATTTACCAGCCAACCAGAGCCTGACAGCCCTCCCCTGATAGCTTCATGATAGTTTTACCTCTGTCATCACACCATTAAAATATTACACCAGACTAGGATTTTCAGGTACTTTTACAAATTCCCCTTCCAGTCCATAGCTGAATGCTGAACTGATGGCCTTAAACAGTTTCAGTTTCACTGGTGCCAGAAAAATTTTGATATGTAATACAAGGCAAAAATTCTGATTATCAGCTGTAATCTTTTCAAAGCATTGAAAATTAAAGTCAGAAATTCTGGATACAGACCAAAAGACATATCGAGGCGTGTTATATGTAAAGGTAAAGACCATACAAGTATCAAAGCGTGAGTCTAAATGATCCCCCGTGAGGAAGAACCTGGCAACGGTCAGAAGGAAAAACTCCCTTTTTTTAGAGAAGTGAGATGAAATAAGAGACAGACGGAGAAAAAACAGGAGCATAGCTAGGCCACAAACAAACACACAAACAAAAAAGAAAGAAATACAATGTGAATTTATTGAATTTCCTCAAACTGGAGAACTGGGGGGGATTTCCATGTTTCAAATCAGCTAAGGATGAAACAGCCTGAGTATGAAAAAAAGCAGTAAGAATCATTTATACTGGTACTAGAATCGTAGGGGATTACCAGCACATTTGCCAGTTTTTTTCTTTCTTTCTTTCTTTCTTTCTTTCTTTCTTTCTTTCTTTCTTTCTTTCTTTCTTTCTTTCTTTCTTTCTTTCTTTCTTTCTTTCTTTCTTTCTTTCTTTCTTTCCTAGATAAAATATAGTGGAGTGAAATCTAGAAAAGCATGAAATGCTTTGGTTATTGACTCCTGTCTCATACACAAGCTAGAGGTTAGCTGACTGAGGGAGGTTGAGGGATGAAATGGAAGGAGCTAATGTTGTTGTAAATGAAATGGTACTTAATTTTTCTACTAACTCAGCATTAAAAACACTTTTCTATATACAAGTGTTTCTTTGCAACTCTTGTCCAAGGAAGCTTCAGACTAAAAGAGTGTGTGTGTGTGTGTGAGGGGGGGGGAATTGAACTGCTTAGCTTCCGATTCGTAGATAACCTGCGCTACCTCACGAACCACAGCCACCCAGTTATGGCAGTGGGGTCATGTATTCAGATGGCAAGAGTTGACTCTAGGCTCTGAGGTGCCATAGACGTCCTGTAGCTTCCAGCCCCTGATCTGGGAAAAGAACACTTGATGCCATCAAAGGGCCACCGATTGAATCCAGATGTGCCTCGCTCGCTCTTTCCATGTATTTAATGAAGGCACAGGGATAGAGTAGACTTTTTCATCATTAGCTTTCCCCCAGATTCGCTTTTCATGGCTACAAGTCGATTCTGGTGCCAGCTAAGGGAAAAAAAGAAGAAGAAGAAAAAAAAAAAGAAAGAATGAAAAATGGGGGGAAAAGGCCTCCCCATGACTCAAGCTCAGTGTTCTCATTCAGGGCCCCTATTCTTTGTTCTGAGCTCAATGTGAAAGTGACTTGTTTGCCCTGGCTGCTACAGTTTGTCTGTGGCAAATCGAAATGTCCAAACATCTCTGAGACGAATATGCCATCCTGCAGAAGTGATGTTAGCAGGAAAAATCTGTGCACGTGGCTGAAATGGTTTAGAAATCAGTATCAGGGTTAGCACAAAAGTACTTTGCAAATGATTTATTTGTGCACATTATTTTGCTGTTACAATATATGGGTTTAATTTATGAATGGAACATAATCTAAAAACACCAAGCCTCAAACACATTTAAAGCACTTCAGAGACAAATGATAACATGGTTGAAATAAAAAAATGAGTATTCCACTTATTTCAGCTTCATTCAATAGCTTGCATGTATTTAATGTTTCCAATAAATATCATTGTATCAGTCTGTGCATTCTAACATAGCTGACAGACTGACAGAGCAGCCCAAAACAGGAACATAGGCCATCAAAGTCAGAAATATTCAGTCATAAATGAATTCCAAGATGTAGAAAAGTCCAAGTGTTGTGATCACGTCATACCAGTAACATAAGCACTGCTTTAATGAGACTGTTTTAAAAAAAAAACATGCCTAACCAAGTTTAACATTACCATATGAATACAAAAAATGTATGCTATCCATTTCAGTGTTGTTGTTGCAATACTTTTTTGTATTTATTCTACATTAATGTGACTTTCTTTATTCCCCAAATCACAACCAACAGTTGATTACAAGCTTCAAGTGGTTTTGTCTGTGTGTGTGTGCTTTTTTACATGATGTGTTACATCATCTGTTTGAGTTTGACAGGCAACTTCTGGGCTCAGATTTAACTTCAGTAAAGTGCATCTCACAAATCTTAGGGCTGTGCACAAGCCAAAAATAGGAATGGTCATAAATTAATGCAAAGTTTCACAAAACGGGTTTTGGTGATTTTTGAGTGCAACCTGATCACAGACTCCTGAAACTTTACTCTCTATTTTATGTCAGAACTGAAAGTGTGTAGAGGGATAATTAGAGTGTGCACTGTTTTGCAGTTGGTGGAGGGAAAGTAAAAAAAGTCTTTATGAAGCATGTCTAAACATGTTCTTTCCCTTGAACTATTCTATTATATTTTTTGTTTGACTTGTTAGTTTTCAGCCTGCATCTGCACTCTACAAGGCTTCCATCCACACAGAAGAAAATACAGACTGTAGAACAAATTTGACAGATTCTGGTTGATGAACTTTTTAATATGTAATGTTAAAACAACCACTTTCACAATCCAAAATTAATGTCAAAAAGAAATTATACTTCTATAATAGTTCGAATTGAGCCGCAAGCTGTACATTGATGGATTCCATTAAATAAATTTTCAGAATTCACAGATGACACGACCTAAATATTTACAATGCATATGCATTGTAAATACATAGGCATAGAAAAATGCAGTGACTTATATGCTGATGTTAGTTTGGTTGTGTATTGGATTTATTTTTCAGGTTTTGTGATATTTTCCATTTATATTTAAAGTCATATCTCCAAACTGAACTTTGCTGCTTTTGTTTAGTTCATTAGATTGTTATTGAACTTGGAGAAAACAGTGCATCATGTCACTTACAGTGTAGAAATGTTTTTAAAATAAGCAACCAAAAAAGATCATCTGACTACTTTTGGATTACTCGAAGATCAAACATGGAAAATGTTGCACCTTATACAAAAACGGACAGTCTCATAAGTGTGTCATTCCACAAATGTTTTCTCTTTATGTGCACAGAAACAATTTAAATGCAAATGTAGCAGTTACAGCTAGTCAAATCAAATGACTCGTGCACTGTGTGAATTCTGCAACATGTACTTAGAATGCGCAGTAATAATATTAATACTGTATTCTGTCATTGCACTTCTTCCACTACTTGCCAGTCAAAATATACAGATTTAAACCAAAACCTCCCTGTTGGTCGTAATGTGTTTTCTTTGTCTGCTCATTGTGCATTAGCTCAGTCCCTCTGTGTAGCCTTGGCCCCGGGCTGAGGATGATGATGATGATGAGGGGCCCGGCCCGCCGCCGCCGCTGTCCAGTGACCCCTGGTGCTGATTGGAGTAGCGTTTTGGCCCCTGTCCTGTTTTATTTCCCTAATTGGGAGTAAATGGCCTCCTTGTTGACTCTTTACATCCTGTGCAGGGAACCATATGTTGCACACACGCCCACCCCCTGCACGCAGCCTGATTGCAGCGGCTGCACCGGGATTTCTCCTCGCATACCGACCGCTGCGGCTCTCCCACACAGATTCTAAACTGATTACAGTTTTCAGAGACAGCTATCGGGGTTTAAGTAGGAATGGCGATAGATCAATAACCAAAGACCCCAGAACTGTGCAAATCATCTGACCTTG